TTGTAGATGCGCGGGGAGCGCAGTGCTGGTCGGAATATGTGAGACAGAGACATTCTGATGTCTCTGAGTATGTATTGGAGTTGAATTGCTGGGATTGAGAGGAGGGATGGGTTTGGAGGGAAGGGAAAAAGTTGGAGGCAGTTCAGCAGCGGAACGTGACGTCGGCGAGAAATCCAATCGATCTCCGCATTTTCTCCCGCCACGTCGCGTCCTCCTGTCGCGGGGTTGTTCTCTCTACGATTTTTAATGTGTGATGGGTCTTATGGGTTTGTTGGAAGCAGATTTCAGTGAGATATCAGCTTGAATTGTGTCCTGTATGATTATATTCACTGGTGTTCTAGGTCTGGTGCTTCCTGCTTCCCCCTGATGTTGTTTTCGGGCTCCCATACTGATTTATTGATGATGCGCCCAGAATGCAATAAGCAATATCTTGACTGAATTTTTCAACATGTCACGCCCCTTCCCTTACACCTTCATATCTTGTCCTTGCGCCAACATCCCCGTTCCTGACCCGGCGAAGAAACGGAGGTCCAGGGAGTCGCCGCAGAAATCCAACAACCCCGATCAGCCCAAACCTCTCCTGCGCCCGGATGACGACGAAGATGAACAGGCTTTCGATCCTCGGTCTCCGCGCGCCAATTTCTCTCTGTATCCACCGGAGCAGCTGCTTTACTGCGAGGATTGCCATCAGATCAAGTGCCCGCGATGCATAACCGAGGAGATTGTGTGCTGGTACTGTCCGAACTGCCTGTTCGAGACGCCCAGCAGTATGGTCCGGAGTGAGGGAAATCGGTAGGTTGAGCAGGATATACACGTCCTCAAGCCTTTACAAGTGTGTTCTAATGCGGTAATTGCTAGATGTGCTCGCAATTGCTTCAATTGCCCGATATGCACCGCCCCTCTGGGCGTCAACACCCTCGAAAACGTCGTGACAGGCGGCACCAGCCAACAAGGCCCCTGGGTGTTGTCCTGCGGATACTGCATGTGGTCGACGCTGGATATTGGCATCAAGTTCGATAAACCGACCAACATTCGGACTCAATTGTCCAAGATGACCGAAATCACTCCTGCTCGCTCGAGACAAATGTCCCGGACGTTCGGGGATCTCAAATCTCCCCTCTCCACATACTCTTCTATCGACGAGCACTTCCCACCGCCAGGAGAGAATAAGCCCGAAGACTCTCCTCTAGACCAGCCCAGCGCTCCTCTCACCACAGATGCCCGATTCCACGCACTCAAGAACTTCTACAAGAACCAAATCTCTGCGACATCCTCCTCCCCAACCGACCCCCTAGGCATGGACTTCGGCTCCGGCTTCTCCTCCCCCGGTGCCCTAAACCGCATCATGTCTCTCTACACCTCCTCATCCCGCCTCAGCAGCCTCTACGGCGGAGCCAACAAAAAGCCCAAAACCAAACCACCCGTCATGCGAGAAGCCCTCACAGCCAGCGAGGGGCTCAAGATCCCCTCCCCAGACGCCGAAGATACGCTGATCCAACGCATGTCCTCCCCGGACTGCGGATGGGACGGCCTCGCCTCCATCGAACAACGCGGCTTCCAATCTCCTGATGCCCGGTTCGTAGAGGACCTCCTCCCGCTGCCCGTGTTACTTCGCACGAAACGATCCAAACGATGCAAGTCGTGCAAGCACATCCTTGTCAAACCCGAACTTAAACCACAGTCCACGCGGTTCCGCATCCGCCTGATTGCCCTCAGCTACATTCCCTTACCGACGTTACGGCCGCTGAATCCCAGTCCCTCCCCAGCCACCACCACCACCACCACTACCACTGTTCTCCCGACGCCCTCAAGTTCCACGACGAACCCGAACCTGGACGCTCTCTCCCCGCTCCGACCCATCCAACTCCTCCTCACGCTGAAGAATCACATGTTCGATCCCGTCCGCGTCACACTCGCCACGCCATCCGTCACCCCAGGCCGCGTGGCCTCCAAAGTAACTATCCTCTGTCCGCAATTCGACATTGGCGCCAACAGCGATGTGTGGGACGAAGCCCTCCAGGGTACTTCGGCTACCACTACTACCACTGCTGCCGCGGGCACAGGAACTGACCCCCGCGGATCCCGATCCGGAGGGCTTGGCGTGTACGAGAAAGTCGCCGAGGCCGGGAAAGTCTGGGACAAGGGACGGAACTGGACCACCGTGGTGTTGGAAGTCGTACCAGGGACATTACCTGGTGGTGCGAAAGAACCCCCCTCCTCCACCAACAAGACCAAGAAAGACAAGACGAAGAAGAAGAGCCCTACCGATGACTTAGACGAGCAAGATGAGAACACTGACGATGACGAGTCCGACTCTGACCCGGGTTTCGACTGGAGCGGACAGACATCTGATCCCAACCAGCAGTTACAGCCGGATGAAGATGTGCTGGAGATTCCGGTGTTTGTGCATATGGAGTGGGATTCGGATAATCAGATTGATAGTGAACAGGCGGTTGGAAGGGCCGGGGCGGGTGGGAGTGATACGGTTAAGAGGGAGTTGGCGTATTGGATGGTGTTGGGGGTGGGGAGAATTGTGAGGGAGATTGTGTAGATAGATAGATGGTTGTTTGGTTCCATTGGTTGTATAGAGGGTGATGGATGTTGGTGATACCTTGTTTTCTCTAGATATACATATACCGTATTTTCTTTTTACTAATTCTCATTTCCAGAGCATACCATAGTATCAAATGCTGGTGGGTATGATTGTAGTTCACGTCTGATAATACGATGGTTAATCAACACACAACGAACCCACAATAGTATAAGGCTTAGCCAACAGCCTGACAGCCAGTAAGTAGTACCTAGTAAGCCTTCTAATTACGAGCTAACCTCAAACCAGGACTACTAGTAGTATGAGTCCCAACTACGCTACATTTACATTTCAATATGAAAATATGCTACTACTACTACTACTACTTCCCCAGAAAATCAATACACCTGGAAAAGGAAGTCAGAAATCATACACTCGACATCACAATGCATTTTCTTTTGAAGGTGTTCCCCTAGCCCTATAGCTACCAATCACATTTCCTTCTCCCTTTCTTTTTTTTTTGTAGCTAACATGACAATGACAATTGCAACCAAGACGACAATCACTTGACTTGACTTCCTTTCAAACCCCCCTCAATCCTCAATACCCGGTTTGCCCGAAACCCCCAACAAACCATGTACCAGAACCGACCGACCGAAAGAAAGAAACCTGACCAGAACCTCACTGTCTCAAAATCTCAACCCACAGAGCCGCAAGCAAGCAAGAAGGTGACTGACGGGTGTGGTGGCGGGGGAGAACATGCAGGAAACAAAACAAGAGGGGGAGGGAAGATGGGGAGGGGAAATCGTAGATTGAAATGTTTTGTGTGTGTTCTGCATGCCCCCGAGCCACATGCATATGGTACGTGATTTGAGGAAGTCGACGAAAGATATGAAAAAAGGAGGGAAAAAAGGAAGAATAGGACGAGTAAGAAGAAAATTGAGGAAGAAGTAGTCAAATCAAATTTTAGTCTCTTGTCTTGTCACATTTGTCACTTGTCAAATTAAAAAGGAAAAAAAAAGAGGAAAAAAAAAATTTGATCCTTTCTAGTAGTCGGCACCACCCTGGGGGAATTCAAAGACAACAGCACGGCCAGTCAACCGACGGTAGACCTCGCCGTAGGCATCAAGGCGGTGGTCAACACCACCACGCTCCTTCTCGTCCAGGATGACCTTGAGGGTCTTGGAGCCGTCCTCCTTGGTGCGGGTACGCTTGCCGACGATCTCGACGGGGTAGACGAGGTCGGTGAGGATGGCGTCGTGGACAGCAGTCAGAGTGCGGGAACGGGGACGCTTCTGCTTCTGGTTGGAACGAGAGCTGGCGGAGCGCTTGGGGCGGGGCAGGATGCGGCGCTGAGCAACGAACAGAACGTGGCGGTCGGAGAACTTCTTCTCGAGCTCACGGGTCAGGCTATAGATATCATTGTCAGTTATGGTTCTGGTGTTTCGTTTTTTTAGTTGCCAACACTCCGGGGGTTGTGGGTATCATGTGGCTGGCACATTCCGGGGTTGGTGTTGGTGTAGATTTATATGGTGTGGAGGTGATGATTGTGGAGTGGAAAATCGTACCGCTGCTGGATCTTGTGGAAGCCCTGGAGGAGAGGGACAGGGACGAAGATGATGACTGCCTTCTTGCCGTGGCCGACCTCGACCTATTGTGATAGTAGAGTCAATATCAAATTGCGCACAATCCGAGAAAACAAATAATTTTCTCATCCCCAGTTCGCGCAGCAGATCAGAGTGTCGGTCGGTTGTTGAGACGGTTCAATTCGTTTCTTTTTTTTTCTTCTTCTTCTATTTCTCGATGCTGGTGGTATTCAATCCCCAAGCACACGTATACATCATCCAGGTGCGGACCGCACACACGCACAATATCCACATGGATATTTGATATTTCCCCAAAACGTCTCGTATGTTGGCAATTTCCGCGATTCAAAAACTCTCGACGCCTCTGATCTGTACACGGACGGAGGCTATGTATGAAAAAACCAAATCATCCTTACCTCACGGGCAGAGACAAACTGCAGGGGCCTGAGGGTGGCCTTCAGGTCCTGTGTGTTGCTCTCGAGGTCGAAGAGAGCACCGGCGATCGCGGTCTCCAGCTCGGAGGGGTTCTGCCTCGACGGCGAGTTGATGGCGATCTTGTTGATAGCAGCCATGATTGCAGACGAGCGACGGGTAGCTGGCTGTGCTGCGGATGCTGCCTTCTGTCGTGAGGTTGGTTGTCGAGGTTGGTGGTTGAACGGAGATCTCTCGAACGTCCTCCAATTTGCGCTTGGGTCGGCTGTGGGATCGGAGGCTCGGCCTCTCGCTTAGCGGGTGGCCGTAGTCCCGTTTGGGACTAGTTAGGGGATGTCTGGTCCCGTGACTCCTCTGCCCTTTTCGGATCATCAACCATTAACCATCTACATTGCAGTATGGCGAGAAATGCTTGCTGTCTATCATACTAATTATCATATAGAACAATATACTGCATCTGTATCGCAGAATTCTTATTCTATGATTATGGCTGACTGGCAATGAACCTGACTGGTTCTCTGTACAAATCTTTGCCATTCCCTTAATCGCCATACTAACTCTGCATAGTCATCGAAAACAAACAGAAAAAGATAAACAGGTAATGCAATATCATAGCAGAACAGAACACTCAAGACGCCGGGAAATGAGATGGCTCAAGCTGCATGTCAGTCTGGTCCTGACGGTCGGGGAATCACTGCCGCAGGACATTACCGTGTAATCAACCTGACATTGTATCTGAACAGTAAAAAGGGGATTGCAAAAACGAAAGAAGCACGACCAAAAGCCCATGACACGCTGCAAAAAAAAAATCCGAGATTAGCAGGCACACCCTTCCTTTGCAGTTGCCGGGCCTCGCTCCCCCAGGTTGACCCGCGAGTCTTCGGCCGGACGACCGCTGTTCAGGCTAGTCTGGCCCGTGCCAGCGCCACCTGCTCGTCCGCTCTTCAGGCTGCTCTCTGGGATCGCGTTGGCAATCGCAGTAAAGACATCCACGACATTCGTGCCCGTCTTGGCACTAGTCTCGAAGAACAGGAGACCCTCTTCCTCTGCGTAGGCGCTAGCTTCCCGTGTAGGCACCTTCCGAGCATCGCCGGAAGTGACATCCTGTGCTTCCTGAGGTTCTTCGGCGGTTTCATCTGCATCGGCCGTAGACGATTCGCCCTCGGCATCAGCGGGCGACTCCCCGGTCGCCTCGTTCCCGTCGTTTGTCAAATCCAGCTTGTTGCCAACAAGAGCGATCACAATGCCGGGACTAGCTTGTCGCTGGAGTTCCGCAACCCAGTGCTTAGCCTTTGTGAGAGAGGACGGTTTGGTAACATCATAGACCACGAGCGCCGCCTGGGCGTTACGGTAGTACATGGGAGCGAGCGAAGCGAAACGCTCCTGACCGGCGGTATCCCAAATTTCGAACTTGATCGTTCGCGTAGGCAGGGAACATTTTTGGGTAAGAAATGCAGCTATGATAGAGGCAATGACATCAGCATCGGAGATACGGCCACTTTCGGAAACCAAGAAAACCGGGAACAATTTCCCTTCTTCTTCTTCCTTTCCCTCTCTCTCTTCCCAATCCAGAGAAAGTGATCTGTAACTGCCAGAGTCGGGAAAAGCTTACCTCCAATAGTTGGTTCTTTGTTTTCTTGGAAATCGTTGTTGACAAATCTCAGCACCAGGGAGGACTATAATGGGCAATCATCCATTGCGTTCATTGTCAGTATTCTTTCTTCTTTGGTTACTCAGGTACCACGCGGAGGTCAAAGCAAGGAAAGTGCCGAGGTTGGTCGTACCTTTCCCACAGCGGCTTCACCCAAAAGTACCAGCTTGACGCTGCTACTCGGCTTGGGGGTATTTGTGCTGGTTGATTCAGACATGGCTCGAGAGCCCAACGAAGGCGATGATGGTATGCGATCAGGTCGTCTTGCAGGACAAGCCCACACTAGGAATGATTATCAATCTGGAGGATGATTTCAGCTCGCGAAGGGCGGCTCAGGCCGAGCGGATACAGAGAGCACTGCTCGGGAGTAGTAGCCTGAAGGAAGACGTAAGCAAGACACACGAGGGAGTCCGGATGAGGGAGGGGGGGCGGGAGGAAAGGGCCAGAATCGAGCAGGGGTAATGTGACGGAGGGAACATTGGAGGGAGAAAATGAACAAATGAGAAGGAGGTATACTACGCACCGGTACCAGAGTGAAATGGCGGTGGACGGGAAAAGGTGATGGAGAGAGAGCGCAATGACGGCGAGAGAGAGGGAGAGAGAGAGATGCTACGGCCTAGGTAGATACGCAGTGAGGCGGAGGGTGAAGTAGAATGACGGCGCGATGCCTGACTCGGTTAGCGCGCCCAAGGCGGACGGGCAGTCACGGGATGTTCCCGCAATTCTCCAAACAGAAAAATTATCTTTTTATTTTTGTTGGTGCTCGTCAGGAACCAGTCAGTACTTCGATGGGTTCTGGTCCCATGGGGAAAAAACAAACGGGCAGTCAGACAGAGAATGAGACAATTGTGGCTCTGCGGGTAAAACCAGGTGACAACAGCGGAGAGGTACAGGCTGGAAGGGTTTAGGGCTGTTTGGTGTTTTCCTTCTGTCCAGTGGATTTCCCACACTCGACCTGTAGATACATCCGACGTACATGGGAAAGCAAAGCTGCTCCCTAAACTATCTCCTGAAACAAAGCAGCTTACCCGTGACACCTGCTGTCGATACCCATCGAGACATCAACCGGCTCCAACGCAGAAGAAGATAGATAGTATCTCCTCCCTATTCTCAACTGTAATTCCATCATTGGGGCCTGATTATCGCGGGAAATGCGACAGATCATCTTTCTAGAGCAAGACTCCAAACCCCGACCATCAGGGCGCCCATGATTGGTAGGCAAGCGATCTGGCCCAACTCAACGCCAGAAATTCCCTTAAGGTGCATATCTATAGGTCGCAAAGTAGGCACGGGGTAAACAACAACAACAAAGACCGACAGAACAACAGCATGCCATGGCGTCTGAGCATGACGTGCCCATAGGTCTCCAACGGCCCATGATCGCCGGCCAGACAGTTGGAAACGCCTCCCCAATGGCATCCAGTCGTGTCACGGAGCCAACGTTGCACGACATGATTTGTGCAGACCCGGTGGCTGCCCAAAAAAGAAGCACATGCACGCCGTTCGAACTTCTTGATTCTCGGCCAGGGATCCACCTAGATAATGCCACTGCCCTTCCCCCGGCAAATCAGATTGAAGGCGCTCTCTGTGGGCTCCCGTCAAACAACCCTGAAGACAATCACGGTTAGATGTCATCGTCGGGGTCTCGTCCGGGTGCCGAAATCCTTCCCTCAGTTCTCCCCCGTACGGATGCGGTGGGTTTGCGATTTTCACAGTATGGGAGTGACACGCCAGTGTAGAAGTAATAGTAGTAATTACCCAAATCATGAACTCCTGTTTATAGTTACCAGGAGTAGTGTACACACAACACCATTCGCCCACATTAACGCAGCCCCATGAGTAAAGCTCATTTGGCTCTAGAAAATAAAGAAGCATTGAAGAATCCAGATTCAATTTTTAGCAGCAAACTGTATTAAGGAGCAAATGATGACGAAATTGGAAGAAATAGGAAAATAATGAAATCCAGGTATTTGACCGCGAGGTCCATCGTTCTAATCTGTCTTTGGTATCAATCCATGTATCCCAACTCAAAAAAAGAAATAACCCCATCCTGTCTATTCCCAACGCCGGTAGTAAAGCAGACCAAGTAGAAAACAACAAATCTCGACAAATCACTTTTGGTGGAACAGATCATAGACCTGAGCTGGTTCGTGTCGGCGGATTAAAGGTGTATGGAGGCAAAAAAAAAATGGTCGATCGAAGAATTGAAAAGAAATAGGTGGTGGCCGTGTCGTTCCATGGTGAGAAGAAAAAAAGAGTCCACGGCCGAAAGGGCGTGATTAGAAAGTATGTAGAAACCGAAACCAATGGCGGCAAAAGGACAACGCAGTAAAAGCAGGAAATAGTAGTGGTACAGGAACTATGATTCGTTGTTAGTCGGGAACCAGATCACCCGGGAAATGCTGTGTCTAGGCAACTTACAAGCTCGACTTCATAGTAGTCACGTCAAACTCCAGGAGCCATGCGCCAGTTGCAAGTCACAAATAACTTTTCGCTCGAGAGAACAGCAGAACAGCAGCATGTGGTTGGCAGATGTCTCCAAGGGTTTCATCGGGTCGAAGGCGGCGGCGGTGGTGCACCCGGCTTCTTGACTCCGGTAGTGTCATAAGCTCCTCGTCCCATGTTGAAGGCTGACAGATCTCGCAGTATCATTGCAGATTCTGAGCGAATGGCCATGGTCAGATGCTGAAGGTCTTTTTCTTTTTTGGAAAGGAGTGGAAGACGGTGGGAAAGATATAGAGAAGCGAAGGCGGATGTTTTGAAGGGAGATGTGTGTTTCAAGCCTGGGAGAAGTGTACTCACAGGAAGATTAAATAAACACACGACGGGCCCTCCCAAAAAAGAAATTATTAATAAATAAAAAGAGCTCGATTATTATTCTGACTGTGCGTCGTGTTGATAGATCGTGTAAAGCGACTAGCGAGGTACCCAAACGATTCCCGGCAGCGAACAGGCGGTAACGACGCAGACAGATTGATGCAGGCTGCAGGTGAGATCGGAAGTGCGATCCTTATTAAGGCGCACAAGTCTGACACTGGGTTGGAGACGAGACAGGGTGGTGTAGGTCACGGCAAGCGTAGGCAGATCTGAGTAGGGCAGGAATGCGACGTCTAAGTACCAAGAAATGGGCGTGTAAGAATGAGGAAGGGTGGAGTCCTTAAACCCAGTCGACAGGTCGCTTTTTCTTTTGTTTTTTTCTCCTTCTTTTTATTCTCTTTGGACACTCATGCGGTTCGAAGACGTTTGTTTTCTTTTTCCCCTTTCCCCTTGGGAACTTTTTTCCAGGTGGTAGGAGAGCGACGAGAGATAAAAAAGTACGCGAGACGTGCAGATGATGGTAATAGGGAACAAGCGCGATCTGATCAAGAACCAGCGACCAAGGACACGGAGAGCGACTAATGCAGCCGGCAAGGAGGTGATCCTGGAAAGGAGCACGGAAGTGAGCTCCGTCTAATCCGGTAAAAAAAAAAGAAACCAAGCTAGACTGGACGTATCGCAAGGGAGGATGGAACGCGGCCTGGTAACGTCACGGCGAGGAGGATCGGGAATAGAGCCGAGGGCGAAGGGAATGGGCGGAAGTACGTAGGGAGGAAGACGAGAGGAGCTGGATGAGGAGGAAGGGTGAGTTTAATTGATTTTAGGAATGGATGGATGAAGAATTTAGTAGCCAGATGGTTGAAGGGGGTCCATCCCATAGATATATAGTGACTAGACCTTCTTACTTTATGATTATTATTATTATTTTATTTTTTTTCAGTTCTAAATTTTTAATGCTCAGATTGGGGTACTTTACAGCCTGGACAGAAAAGAACCTAAACTTCTGAAAGTAGGAAGTCAAAAAAAATAGAAATTCAGAATAAAGGTAGAGCAAGATACCTAATCTAGATACGGGGATAGACAGGAAAAGTAAACACAAAAAGAAAAAAACTAATAAGGAAAAATAAAATAGAAGGCGGAAAATCCAATTGGGAAAATGGAAAAACTACGGAGAGAGTAAGAGGCTAAAACTGGCTAGAAGAGTGTGTAAACGGAGCAATGACAGAATAATAGTAATACACCAAAGGCTAGAAATTTGAGAGAGACAGAGAAATTAATAAAAGCAAAATACGCATACAGTAGGAGTAATATTAACAATAATAATAATAGTAGAGCAACAGCTCTCTTTAGCATAGCTAGGCGGCTCTCCCGTCCCGAAGGTAAGGTACCGTAGTACATGAGAGGAGTGGGTGCGATCCATTTCCCCCTTTCTTTTTCTTTTCTTAGGGGTTTCTGGCCCCCGTCACCAACGTCGTGACGCCTCTCTCGACGGGAAACTCTGTAGCCACCTACTAAGCAAGAGGTAGTTCAGGCGAAGGTTGGTATTCATTATTGTTACGAGTTCGTCTCTTTTCCATCCCATCCCTTTGCTTCTTTGTCTGAGTCGCCTCATGTTATTCCCGGTCACTCAAATGGCTCTCTATCCGCATCTCCGCATCCCATCATCCCCCTTCCCCCCGTCAGCTGCTACTAGATCTTCCCGATAATGGCTGATACCTGGACACGGGTTCGTCTCGGAAATTGTAGGGAAACCACAGGAAGAGTCCGTCTAATCCGTAACGGAAGTGACCTTACCTAGGCTGTTTCTGAACAGAGAATTCCATCGATCATGGCCCAGTTCGGAGAAGACTTTGCCCAACCAGTCAAGGGACCGACCTCTCAGACTAAGAGTAAAGGTACTGTAAATTTGTAATGACACAGGGGAATCTAGCCACTCCTCAGCAGTCATCTTCATCATTCTGGCGACCACCACACCAGTAATGGAAAAAGGAAAATACCACTTCAGAAGAAATTTTGAGGTTCTCCACTGGCTGTACGGAGAACATCAGTCAGAAGCTAGGAACCGATTCTTCGGACGCGACGGGCAGGTTTGAGTGCAGGTGGGTGGGGAAGGCAGCCGCTCACAGGATCCCGCGGATGGATCCGAATCCAGCACCAATGGGTCCGCTGGGGCTTGACCTGATGCTTTCTCGCGTGGTGTTTGGGGGGGAAGGGAAGAACCAGAGTCAGGGGCCCCTGGATGGGGGAGGAAGGAGTCTGTTTCCCGGAAACCCTACGTATTCTAAATTCCATGGGATGCCATAGCTAGCCAGCCAGCCAGCTCTCTCTGGGTGCTTTTGCACAGCATGACCCCATGCAGATGTTTTGACTTTTCTCTTTTTTTATTTATTTTTCATTTTTTTTCTTTTCTTTCTACTTCCCTTTTTGCTCTTTAATATTTGCCTCTCATCCTATGAAACGGGGTCTCTGAATTTTCGGGCTGGATCTATTATTTACCAGTGGTGGCTGCTAAGATTTAGAGCGGCGCACCCTTGTCGGTAGCTCCCCCCTAACACGGCTAGACATCCTGGAAGGGCCGGAGTACCTGCATAGCCGCACTTATCTATCGAGCTCGACTACTGTACGATCGAGATGATCGAACTTTGATGGCGCCAACCATAGTTTGATAGGTAAGGTCCAGAGCTCTGGGCTATCACTTTAATCATCCTGGGCGTAGAAGCATGTACAAAAAGTACTTCAGTACTTTGACGACCAGCTGTTGTCTGCTTTCTTCCGCAATGGGTAAGCAAGCAAGCAGGCATTCAACCCTACGGGAAGTTGGCCTACTAACTAAGCCGCCGGGGATACGGAGGACCAGGGTACCTAACCAGGTTCAGAACCAATCCAGAAGCTTTCCGTCCGGTAGTTAGTCACCTGCTGCACTTTAGTTTGGAGTAGTTTCGGGAGACTATTCGCGACCAAGATCACTGTTTATTGATGGGCCTCCCCTAGCTTGGCCCACCATTTCTCCTGGTTGATTCATGTCAGCCACAGAGAAATTAGCACCGGTTTCTGTCAATTCTGGTCTCGTTTTTGTCTCTGAGTGAGCAATCAACATATACAGGTCAACTATCTACTAAGCGAATCCAAGCTGACTTCAAAACACTGTCTGTCTTTACTTTCTTTTTTTTTCCCCTCTTCATTTCCCGCTGGACTTCTTTTCCGCCCTCTTGATTTCTTCTGCGGTCTCTCAACTTCCTTCCCTTTGGTCACCGGGGGAATCGGCTGGCTGAAAGGGGCAGTGGGGCCCCCTAATAACGATCCATGATCCGGCAAATCCACTGTTACCCGCCTCCGTTACGTATTATTGTGCAACTCGCATTCTTCTCGCGCGCTTCTAGTCCTTCTAGCGCCCTCGCCCTGCCTGTTCGCCCCCGCGACCGCGGATGGAGCTGCGAGCGACCAGAACCAGCGCGCCGATTTTTGCAGGTTTTCGGTCCTACGATCGCAGACTACCATACTTTAGTAAACGATAGGCTCAATTTACGCTGGGTCCAGGAGCCCTCTAAAACTACTCAGAGAACAATCTGGATGCTCTTCTCCCCCCCCCCGGCAAATTGGGGGATTCGCAGCCCTGTGCGGATTTCTGGGGGTTGACATCTCCGG